GCATTCCCAGACCCGGCTCTTTTTCTGGTAGGGACTGTGCTTTCTGAGCCAGGCTGGCAGGGAGCTGAGCTCTGTGCGTGGATGCCTTAAAGAATTGGGAGCAAATTCCTCCCTAGAAACACCAGGAGCTACCCTGAGTGTGGCCTGGCCTGGGCCCCTGTTGGAAAGAGCCTGGCACAGCCTCAGCCCCGGTCCACCTCCCCCCATGCCCTCCCAGGGTGTGCGTAGCAGCAGGAGCTGCACCCCCTGGACAAGCCACTCACGGCTCTGTCCTGCAGCCTGCCCTGGCTGTGCAGCACCTGCCCCAGCCCCCGTCTCTGTCACCACTGTATGCATGCCCCTCCCCACCCCTGCTGCAGCTGCCAGAAGCCTGGGGCCAGGCTGCCTTGTGGCCCTACCCCTACCCCATGTTTGGGGGCAGCTAAGCCCTGTTGGCTTCCCCTTCCACTACCTATGGGCATGATCTAAAACTACACCCTGCTAGGGTAGGATGGTGTGGTGGGGCTGCCTGTGGCAGGGTTGTCCCCAAGAAATGCCACACCAGTTGCCTCCCTAGTGAAAGGTGAGTATGGGATGCCTTATAACTCCAGTCCCCACAACCTGGTAGGTAACCCAGCAGTTGGGGCAGGAAGGGGGCCAGGCACGTCTATAGACACCTGAGACCCATGGGTTGTAAGACCCTGAGGGCCTAGTGAAGGGGGACTGAGTGGAGGTCCCAGCAAGGGGGTAGAGGGTTGGAGTGGATAGTTAGGCTGTGCAGAGTAGGGTTTGCAGGGGCAGCCTGAAGAGCTACACATGATGGTGCAGAGTAAGGTCTGTGTAGGTGGGCTTGAAGGGCTGCACAGGGGTGCGTAGAGAGGGTCTGTGGGGCCTGAAGGACTGTGCACGGGCTGGCCCCAACAGTAAGATAGCGTGAGTGGAGGGCAGGAGGCCCAGGCATGCACGAGGATGCCTGAGGCAGCTCTTATTTTGGATGCCATCTGTGAGGCATGGGACAGCCTAGAGTAGGTTTGGCATTAGGGCATAAAATGGGCAGCCTCCTACATTACATCTTTCCTTATACATCAAGTCATGGCAGGTGAGATGGGGCATAGTGCCCTATACAGGTGGGCAGGCCAGCTTTGTGCCTGGCCTTGAGACATCCCCATTACAGGCGGGCAGTTATTTTGGCCAGAGGGCTGCATACAGAGTCCTGGTGAGTTGCTGAGGGCTGCCCCTTGACAAGCACCCTGCCCCCTGGTTGCCATCTTGGGATCAGAAGTCCCATCCCTAACCTCTGACCTTTGCCACCAGAAGTCCCTCCCCTTGCCCCTGGAAGCACTCCTTTTGGGAAGGGGCTTGCCATCTTGGAACCGGAAAACAAACCAATTTATATATTAAAAATCAAAAACCCATAATAATATATTTTAATTTTATCTAAAAAAAAATTATCCTGATTTGTGTGTGTTTATGGTGTGTGTGTGTGTGTGTGTGTGTGTGTGTGTGTGTGTGTGTGTGTGTAAGCAAGTGATTGCATAGTCACTCAAAATGAAGTCCTACTCTTGTATATTGTGGGGGGGGGGTGTTGGAATATGTGGAGAGGGAGGGTGGATGGTGGCGTGCATGGGTGCATGTGTGGTGTGTGCATATATGAGTGAATAAGGCTCCCCCTAGAGGCATGTGGGCATGTGTGGGGGAGGGTATGGGTGAGTGCAGTGTATGTGGGGTCTGTGATTTTTGTGTAGGGGGGTGTGGTTGTGGGGTTTGGAGAGGGAGGGTTTGTGCGTATGGTGGGGTGCACATAGGAGTCCCCTCCTGAGCTGGTCAGCCCTTGCTCTACAACAGCCCAGAGCTCAGGCACCCTACAGCACCTCCCCACCACTACCAAAAATGCATGATCTGTGCTTACTTGGCACCACCCAGCTGTGTTGTGTCCAGTCACCCCTAGGCATGCAGCGGGGCTGGGGCGGCTTCTTTTGGCTGCCACCACTGCTGCCCCCAGCCCTGCAGTAGCCACAGGGACCAGCACATGCAGCCTCAACCCTGCGTGCCCCAGGCTTGCCAATCTGGGCTGAGCAGCAGCAGCGGCAGGGCAGAAACTGTTGCTTGGCATGGACAGAAAGCAGCCCTGCCCCCTCAGGATTGCTGGGCAGTTTTTGGTGTAGCTGCCCAGTGCACCATGTGGCTCCATCACCGCTGCCTCTGAGCTACCCTGCACTATGAATGCTGCCGCACAGGACAGCCCAGAGGTGGCAGTGATGGAGCTGCATGGCCGCCCAGTGCAGCACATGCTCTGGCCAGCTGCAACAAAACCTGCCTGGTGGCAGCGTGAGGAGAGGGGATTGCTTTCCCTCCATGCTGAGCAACAGTTTCTGTCTGGCTGCTGCTGCTGCTGTTGCTGCTCAGCGGGGACAGGTGAGCCCAGAGCTGGGGCCCAGGCTCAGCAGAGGCAGCACGGGAGAGAAACTGCTGCTTAGTGCAGGGTAAAAATGGCCCCTCCCCTTCCCGGCACTCCCTGGTCAAGCTGCCCAGAGCCTACACAGGGCTGCCCTGCATCTGCTCTGCATTGCCACTGCTGCCCCATGAGGTAGTGGTGACGCACAGTAGATGCAAGGCAGCCCCATGTGGCTGCACCAGGAAGCACTGGTGGTGGTGACAAGGGGGAAGACGCACTTCTGCCCCACGCTCAGCAGTAGTTTCTGTCCAGCACTGCCACTGCTGAGCCTGGAGCCAGTGCAGGGCACAGAAGGCCAGGTTTGTGTGCACTGGACCCCCCTGCTACCTCAGGGCTGGGGGCAGTGGCAGCAGCCTGGGATGCCTAGAAAGGCAGTCCAGCTGCAGAGCTGCCTCCGCCCCACTGCGTGCCTAGGGGGTGGCAGGACATACCATGCCTGGGCAATGCCTTGGCCAGGTAGGCCCGCGGCTTTGTCTGCCGCGGGCCAGACAAAGCTGCTTTGCAGGCTGGATCTGGCCTGCAAGCTGTAGTTTGCCCAGGCCATAGTGCCCAGGTAGATACAGAATGTAAAATGTTTCCAAAAAGGCATGTGTTGGATCCAGCCTTCAGCTGAGTTCATGAGTGAAGGAAGATGCCTCTGAAGTTGCACAGAAGATGGTCTCCAAACTAATGAAAAATATAACCTTTATGTTTCTTAGGAAGCGGGCAACCATTGGCCTCTGAGAGGGCCTCAACAGTTTCCCTATTGCATGAAGAAGGGAAGGGAGATAAATAGGTCTGTTGGGTTCTAGTTAATACAACTAACTAAACAAACCACTGGAAAGGATTACATGGATTTGGTTTCTCTTCTTTACAGGGAAAAAAAGAATAGAGCCCCTAATGAGAATCCAAACCTCAACTGAATGTGTAAGACTTTACAAAAATCACTCGGTTTGAATCATGTGGGGTGGGGGGAGCAGCAGCTGGTGCTGCAAGGGTTGCTGCACCCCCGCTTCCAACTCCCCTCCCTCAGGATGGGTAGATCAGAGCAGCAGCCAAAGCATGTGCTGTTTGGTTTGTTCAGTCCCTGAATCGGGGATAAAAAAATCTCCTTCTTTACCTGCTCTGCTCTCAGCACCTCTTCTCCTTCCCTCTTTGCTCAGCCTTACTTCCCCTTCCATCCCATCCCTGCCCATTCAACCCCTCCCTCACCTGCAGCTGCTGTTGTGCAATGAAATACTGCTGGAGAAAGTGGCAGCAACAGTGGCAGACAGGTCCCCTTCCATGAGCCTGCTTACAGGCTAGCAGGGAACACACAGGGGAATCAGCTGTTTCAAAGTGCCTAAAAGAAGAACCAGAATTGACACAAACCTTTGATACCCACAGTTCAAACTCAGCTCCTTTTTTTTTATTTTGACATTTAATCAGTTCCCAGTTTTAATCAGAAAGAAAGAGAAGACAGAGATTTACAAATACCATGTTGAAAGAGGACACAATCTGGGCCAAGTAAAAAATTCTGTGCTGCGCACATTTCCAGCCCTATGTCTAGAATTCAGGGATCAAATATTTTGGGACTTTTAAAGTACTTCTCAATTCCATGCAAGTTTTGCCATCATTACAGTGATCAGGAGATCCACTGGGGGAGGGGAGGTTGCAGTAGCACAGATACAACCCCACACCATGGAAGGAGCAGCCAGGGACTTTTAAATTACCATTTAAAGAATTCCCACTCCCTTCGTCTCCATGCTGTGGCACAGTCCCTCCCCTCCCCATTACAGCTGCTGTCTCTGGCTGCCTTAGGGGAAGGGGGGCAACCTCCAGAGTCACTCCTGCTCACTCCACTCAAGCTTCACGTGGAGCTGAGCTCAACCAGAGCCAGCAGCAGTAGTGGGCAGATTTCCCCTCCCTGCCCAGTCCCCTTGGTGTTCCCTGCCTACACAGGCATGGGGGAAGGGAGCCTGCCTACTGCCATAATTACTGCTGCTGTCTCTAGCAGAACCTGACTCCCTGTGCAGCCAACTGCAGTGGCTCTGGAGCCTCGGCTCAGCAGGCACCACTGGCAGCAGCAGGTGGAAGAGTAGAATGGGAGGGGAAGAGAGTAGGGAAAAGAAGATTCTTACCTGCTTGAGAAACTTGTTCTGCTCTTGTGGCATAGTCTGCCTACAACTAGGGAATACTGGAGACAGGGTGCAACTACTCCTGCAGCGCAGGTCACTGCCCTTGTACCCCTTTACAAAATCCTGGATCTGCTCATGTGATTAACAATAGAGAGAAATTCACTTGTTCTTCTTCTTTTATTTTCTCCAAAACGGAGATCATGGAAATACTCCCAAGAATAAATACAAAATAATCTGATACAATCTGTAAACAAGCTTTTCTCTGCCAGCAAGCTTTTCTTGGCTCTACAAAAGGCCGCAGAAAATCTTAATTAGCCTGTGCAAAATATATACATACTGAAACTCCTATTTGGAGATTTCTCGCACTTCAAACAGACACCGGTTCTGGAACTCATTGTTTGTATAATATCACAAACAGAAAGCTTCTTCAGAAATTTGAAGGGGAATATTCTCATTGCCCAACTGATGTCATACTACCTGCCTTGGATAGTTACTTAACTCGGAGTGGTTTGGCATACACTGGTTCCAGAACATGGTGAATAAGAACCAGGAAGAGGCTTCCAAGAAACATCAGGCTGAGAACAGAGACCAGGACATAGCGGCCAATGAAAAAGGTATCCACAATCTGAAAAGAGTGGAAAGAATAAGTTACACAACTCAGCATTTGTTTCTATATCATCCATAACAAAAGTAATGCTGCACCATGCCAATACCAAGCCAATTCAACCAGAGCCTTCAATTTAAAAAAAAGAGACAGGCTTACAGCTTCTATGACAGAAGGCAGGGCACTATGACACCTTAGGGTGTCTTTACACATGCTCTGGGGTCCGGGTAGGGGAGGAGGTGCTTTAATTAGAGCAGCTCTCAGGAGCCACTCTATTTAAAGCACTCACAGGATCTTGTATACAGTGTCCCACACTTCAAAATGGTGGGAGCTTGGCCTGAGCTTTAGTTTAATGGTTGAACAAGCTTAAGTGAAAGCACCCCTTACTGCCATTTTGAAGCTCAGGGATGCTGAATACGTTTGATGCCAAGGCTGTTCAAGTGTGCTAATTTAGTACATTCCAGCAGACTCGACTAATCTAGTTTGCTCAGACACATTCTAATTAGCACACATTGGAGCACACATCAGGCATGCGTATAGGTGTCCTTGCAGACTAACTCATTCAAGGAAGCATGAGCTTTCATGGACTTGCAAGGTGCAGGTGTACTAAACAGAAGTGAGTAAGGTCATTTAAATACAAAAGATAGAGAAAAGAGAAGGAAAAGATGCAGCACTGCTGAGAGGTGAAAGTGAGCTGAAGGGATAAAAGGAGATAAACAAGGCAGTTAACCCATTGAGATGCACATGATTTCAGCTGAGACCATACTTAGCACAATCCAGTCTGTGGTTGATTTCTTGTTCTGCAGTTTCATGTTCAAGGCAACTACTCTGAGGTCAGTGATGGAATGTTGTAGCTTTTCTCTTTCTGGAATAAATGTCAAATCGGTGCCTATTCATTCTTTCACATAGATTCCTTCATCGTTTTGTTTTTTTTCTGCTGTTTACACTGGCCACTATAAGCAGGTGGTGGCATTATATGTTGGTACAGGCATAGGTGACTGAACCCTGAATCTGAAAATCTACATTATTTGGTCCACTGATGTATTGATGGGGGGCACAACTGGCACCAGGGATGCAGAACAAAACCTGGTGCCTGTTACTGAAGAGATGTTGCTAGAGAAGAGCTGTGAGGGGGTAGGGGCATATGTGGGCTGCTCAGCGCCAACATCCTGCTGCCCTCCTACAGGGAGCCCTACACTGGTTGGGCTGCCCTGGCTGCTGCCACAACTCTGCACCACCACTGCTGCTCCTGCTGCTGGGTGGGCAGGGGGCACCTCACCATGGCAGTGCGGCTGGTGTGGGGCTCCCAGGGGCAGGGCCATCATCTGCCCTTGCCCCAAGCGTAGATCTGGGGGGCACATGCCCCACCCCATCTCCCCTCCCCAGGAATGCACACAGAAGCAGGAAACTGTTTCCCCACCCACCCACTGGATTAGCTGTCCATGGCTCTGTCCCACTCCCTGCCCCAGCCCTGGGCGCCATGCATTACCCTGGCTGGGCACTGCCCTCAGGCCCAGCCCCTGTCCCACTCCCTCCCTCACCATGGGGGCTTCAATCTGCCCCCTCTTCCCCCCATAGACTTACCTGCCTGGGGCTGTATTCCTGACCAGGTCCGTGTGCCTGCGTGCATGCGTATACGGCACCCCCTGCGTCCTGCTCCCTGCCGCCCCTTGCAGGCTGGAATTCTGCCAGCCTGCAAGGGGAAATCTGCCATTTCCCATGGTGAAAGGAAAACTTGAATCCCTGCATCATACTGGAAATCCAGAACAAATGCTGTTCTGGTGTCAAGCAGCTTGGGAACGGGACTTAATGTTCCCATTTCAGGACTGTCCTGTACAGTTAGGGACAGGTGATCACCCTACCCTCTTCTCAAGGCACCTGTCCAGTGGTGATATGACTATTACAAAGTTACATATGGGCAGCTAAGAGATGAATATACTGGATGGAGTATTCAAGAATCACCTGGTGGAAAATCTTGTTAAAATCTTGGAATTTCTTTAGAGATTTTTTCCCCCATGTGTTCACATGATGCATCTTTAGGTATATCAATGGGATGAGAAGGTACATGCAGAACTGTCAACATAGCAGTTCCCAGAAAAAAGGAAAATACCTGCAGTCCCTGCAGACAGACAGTCTCTCATCTCTGCCCACAGAAGGGGGGTTGCAATAGAAGGTTTTGAGGACACAAACAACTAGATCGGTAGAGTTCCTGACTTCAGTGGGAAATCTGCTCAAGTCCACACTCAGTACCACTATTTTCTATGGAACACTCTCCATTCAAGAAAGTCATAGTGCTAAAACAGTCCCTCCCTCCCCCTACCAGCTGAGTAAAAGATATATACATATTATATTGGTTTCAAAGAGAGAAACAGAGGCATAAACAAGGAAAGTGACTTACCTAAGGTTACACAGGCACAAAAAAAAAAAATCTCTGCTATAGTTAGGAGTACAAAGCAGAAGTCCTGGCTCATCATTCCTAGCTCTAACTACTAAATGTTACTTCAACTAAGATAATTTTTTTTGGCATCTGAAAAAGGAAAAGCCAGATAGGGAGACATATGGCACCCTACTAATGTAAAATTTAAGCCCCACTGCTGGTACTTCATCTATTCTGGGTCCCATTCCTAGGGTGTGGGTCTAATGCTACCTATTGTGAGTAGATTTGCATAGACAGTACTTGAATGATAAACAATTTACTACTTTCTGGTCTCAAGTGTATTTCTAATGGAAGAGTTAGTTCCATGGAGCAGGAAAATACTAATCATACATAATGGGCCTGGTATCTGCTCATACATGTGAAGTTCCATGACAGACATTGTAGGGGTTGTTGTTGCACATGTTGCCTCCCCAGCTTCATGACATGGAAGAGAAAGCATAGCTCCATCTTCACTGGTTGACTCCAGTCAATATTTTACTCCACCTGGACAAGATTTCAGTTACTGTATTGATATAGTACCTACGACCATATGTGACACTAGTAAACTGAGATCTGTTAGCTCAGGGTGATTCTGAAGCTTACAGGCCTGGATTCTGCGATGGAAGCTGTTACATGAGTCTTTTCACATGGAGGCTGGAAAAGAATCTTATTATTCAGTGAAGATGCAGACACAAAAGGGAGACAGTGTTAGTGAGACATACCAATCAGCAAAAGGAGTGTTCTGAAATCAACCTCCCAACTCTTGGGATTGCTCCAACACTGCTTACAAAAAATGGGAGTTTTGTGGAACAGCATTAACACAAGCTTGACCTTGGCTCTGCTACAGAACAAGTCTCTGGCGGGCTATATGTTTGCTCGTTCAACGCGTTTCACTTTTTAATTAGCCAATTAGCAAGCTTCAGGTACAGAAAGCCCAGATCATGTATTATTGATATTCTATCAAGCAAGACTACTGCAAGGGCCAGCACTGGAGATCCTGTAAATAAGCCTTCTAATTCTCCCCGATACGTAACTTGTCCAATTGCCACTATTGCCCTTGATCTCGCTTTCGAAATTTGTCTGAATTGTTCATAGCCAGGAGACAAAAAACCCCAACAACCTTATAATAAGAGACAGAGAGCTCTCAAAAGGCATATCTACATGATACACTAACTGCGCAGGAGCATGACACAGCACAAATAGTACTAATACACTACTGCACAGTATTATTAGGCTACTGCATAGTAGCATCAGTAAAAAGGCATGTGCCAGCACTACTGCACGGTAACTCTGGTTACTGGGCATTAATGAATGTGTAGATGCGCCCAAACCTAATCAACAAATCAATATAGAGAAAAATAATATTCTTCTATACATTATTAGAACACAGGGAATGGCACCTAAAACAGAACACTCTAATATCCCCAACCCAAACACATAAGTGAGGTATGGAAGACTGTGCTGAAAGACAGAAGGAAGGAAAGAACAAGTTTCTACTTGCAAGCTTAAACAGTCTGGTGTGAGCAGAATTCAAGCAGATCCTCCCTCTCAACCAGGGCTAACAGAACAAATAAGGTTATAAAACAAAAGACTAGCCCAGTGGTTTTTTAGTGCTCTTTAAATCATAAGCAGTAGCCTGGAAAAATAGAATACGAATCTGTTTATCAAGTCACTTAGACTAAGCCAAAAAGGAATAACTGCTTTTTTGGAAAAGTGTGTAACAGCAGCTAAAAATAACTGATGTTTTGCCTTTTGATAACAATTGAGTTGTATGCAGTCAGCTGGAATCTTTGTTACCCTGTTGTCAGCCTTGACCACTTTCAAGGGACTCTTAATTGCAGAAGTGTGACTAAAATGGGCCACAAAGCCTGTTTCAGAATGTAACATCTGCAAAGGTTCAACTGGCAAAAACTGCCTGGTGGCTGAGAGAGGGAGGAGCTGCTTCCCCCGCAACATCGAGCAAAAATGTTTGTCCGGCTGCTGCTGTTGTTGCTGCTGCTGCTCAGCCAGGACGGGTGAGCCTGGAGCCAGGGCCCAGGCTCAGCAGAGGCAGCACGGGAGAGAAACTGCTGCTTGGCGTGGGGTAAAAGTGGCCCCTCCCCATCTCACTGCCAGCACTTCCTGGTGAAGCCATCTAGAGCCTGCACAGGATTGCCCTGCCTCTGCTCTGCATTGCCACTGGTGCAAAATCAATGGGAGTTTTATCATGAATTGCAATCCCTCAAGGATTTTACTCCAGAACAGGGAAGGTTCCCACGATATGAAAACATGCTGAGAGAAAGCAGCAGAAATTTTTAAAATCAGAAATCTAAAAAGAGTCATTCAGCAGCAGGCACTAACACAAACTACTGCCAATGATAAGAGAAAGATTCAAGAACTGATTTTCTCAAGACAGATTTATGGAATTGGAAGCTAGTTGTATAGAGTAGCTTGAATAGCTATGAAAATGAGCTTTGCAAAAAATAAAACTACTATTTGGTTACATTCTTGCAAGGTGGGGCATCTGGGGTACAGTATCTGTTTTGTAATAAGCCTAGATTGAATGAGAAAAGTCAAGACAAAAGGATTAAAATGGAGAAAAAGAATGTTTTACCTTTGTTTCTGTAGCTGGCTCTGGAAACTCACTGGCACGAGGGAAAAACCAAAGAACCAAAGTAATGATCAGAGCAGAAATAAAGACTAGAACAACCGAGAACCTAAGAAAAGAATCAGATAGGGACAATCTCACTGTTGAGTCCCAGTCCCAGAGCTCTCTTTAAAAACACAACATTTACAATGAATGATACTGCATTCTATCTATCAATAGTACCTCATCATCATACTCATTCCAACTCAGTGACAAAACCCTCTCTACAATCCTACACCAAGTATTCAGAGCATCTGAAAGACTCCAATATGCATTCATCTCGTATGCAAGCAAGTCCTATTCTTCTTTTCTCTTTTCTATTAAAACGTAAAGAAAGTATGAACTTCCTAAAATTACTGCCATTCCCTATAGAACTGTTAGTAAACCAGGATATGGAAAACCTGATTTTCAAGAGTGCCTGGGCAACTGGACACTCAGTTCCCACTTATCTCCTTATCTGGCATTGAAAATCTCTGTCCTGCAGCAAAGCTGAATTGTACATTCTGCTGCTGCATCTTTGTACTGAATACTATCTGTGCTTCTTGTCTATAATAGTTACATTTGCTTTCAACAATAATTTTGATAATCTATTAGATTTTCATGGGCCACATCTTGATTTACTAAGCAAATTTAAAATAGATTTCATAGACATTAGGGCTGGAAGGGACCTCGGAAGATCATCGAGTCCAGCCCCCTGCCCAAAGGGCAGGAAGTCAGCTGGGGTCATAGGATCCCAGCAAGATAAGCATCCAGTTTTGTCTTGAAGGTGTTCAATGAAGGCGCTTGAACCACCTCCGGTGGCAGGCTGGTCCAGACCTTGGGGGCTCGGACAGTAAAGACATTCTTCCTTATGTCCAGCCTGAAACGGTCTTGTAGTAGTTTGTGACCATTCGACCTCGTTATCCCTTGGGGCGCTCTGGTGAACACACGTTCCCCCAGATACTGGTGGTCACCTCTGATAAACTTGTAGGTGGCCATCAGATCACCCCGGAGCCTGCGCTTTTCCAGGCTAAAGAGCCCCAGGGCTCTCAGCTTGTCATCGTAGGGTCTGCTTCCCCGACCTCTGATCATGCGCGCGGCTCTTCTCTGGACTCGCTCAAGCTTCTCCACATCCTTTTTGAATTGTGGAGCCCAAAGCTGGACGCAGTACTCCAATGAAAAATAAATAAACAAACAAACAAGGAAAGGTGGTTATTCTGGTCAGTCAACTGCCTGCCCAAGAACTACACTTGAGTTTTAGAGTAAGAGGCTTCAGAAGTGATTTAATCTTTGGACTAAACACAAATGGTAGAAGCCAGATCCTAAAGAAACACTTTCAGCAGTGACAAAAGACAATCACCACCAAAAATCCTCCAATAGCTTCCTGTCCCGTGTGGAATATAGGTCCATGTGCTATATAGCACTTTACGCAAAAAGAACAACAAACTAAGCAAAGCTGTGTTTATAAACTCAACTAAATCCCAATGAACTAGAGTATTCTGTGGCAGGAAGTTAAATTCATAGTCTGAACGGGCCCTATTTTAAGAATCCATTTCTTGAAATTAGAGGTGCATCGGTTCATATTGTATGGGCACCAATAAAAGAAAAATTGACATTATAGGCAATTGGCTTTTTTTGACTGATATGGAGAATAATGTCACTGATCTGCAGGGATCCTGGTTTTGCAAGATAAAAAATTGCAAATTCTCTGATTAAAAACCCCAGAAGCCGTGATTAAAATTAAAGGCCCCCCCCAGCCCTGCTGGTGCCCCTCACTTCCCCCCACAGTTCTGCTGGTGCCTCTTGCCTCCCACCCACAGCTCCTGCCGCCTTGCCCTGCAAGGTTGGGGGGGGGGGGGGGGGGAGGGGCCGGGGAGGG